ATTGATTTCAATTAAATTATTTATTTTTTCGATAGCGAATAAAAATATTTTTTGATGCAGATACCACTTTTACGGTAGAATTGCATTGTTTTAAGCAATAATTAAAACATATATTTTTTTCAAATATTCGATAACCGTTTATTATTTGGCGGTAATTATCGGATTCTGAAGTATACAATACGGATTTCGATGTCTGGTATAACGGTATATGCATAAGGTAGAATTACAAGTAGAATTACAAGAATATCACTCACCTTACAAAATTAATCAAAATTATGAAATAGAAAAAGCTAGAAATGAAACACAATTTATCAACTTATATTTCATTTTGTTAAAAGAAATAATAAAAAATAGTTTTATGAAAACTGCAAAATGGATTTTCAAAGATTCGAACTTGGCCTACTAGGTCACATCTTCGTCATACTTACCACCACTAGGCCATCGAGCAATATTTATTAATTTAATATCGAGATCTATACTATCAAAAAAATCTTTAGCATTAATCATACTAAGTTACGTAAACTAACGAAACACCTCCCGAACAGGTCAATATTGCCAGACAATACTTGCTTATTTAATAATCATAGCAGTTCCGTGACAATGTTGCTAAGCAAGTTTGCTTCATATATGATGTTTTATTGTGAATAAACAGTTACTCAACATATTGTTCCTCTTTTCTTTATACGTGAACCATTAATTAAACTTATATTTTCTTATATTTATGATAATACAATCATTTTCTATCCGGCGACTTGATGCTTTAGCATCAAAATCTGTACTTGTCCGTACCTGTTCTACAGAAATTAGGAACACTCTCCGGTCGCTTTCGCTCCCGTCGAAGTTTCTAATTTCTGTAGAACAGCACGGATGAGCACTAACATATACATAGTGTAATAGTGTGGTGTAATAAAATGAATATTAATGAGGCCAAAAGTTTGACACTAAATATAATAGTTTTCATCCGTAGCTTTTCTACAGAAATTAGAAACATTCTCTGGTCGCTATCGGTCCCGTCGAAGTTTCTAATGTCTGTAGAACAGCACGGATGAACACTAACATATACATTAAGCCACGAACGCTGTTGTGTTTTCAATGTGTAAAGTGCGAATAACATCTTTTTCCACACGATATTGACTGTACGAAATGTACAAGTTTTCAAGTTTATTTGATTATCTCAGTATGCATACAAATACATAAGCACGAGAAAAAGAATCCTAAATAGATATAAAACCTTGTCTACAGAGGACAACATTCATTCAAAATTAAAAGATGAATTATTATTTGTTTGCAACCAAATTTCTTCTGTATATCAGCAGGTATATATATATACAGTAAATCGTACGTATATTAACGGTACCGTTAATATATATACCTGCGTATATATAAGAAAGACAGTACTGAATCAACATGTCTAGAAATATCGTCTGTCATCTTTAACCTTTTTCTTAACCTGAATTCTATTTTATTATATACCTTTAAATTTTCTCCCTAAAATACACGCCAATATTGAAGTGCAAATACGTTTCAACGGATAAAAATTACCGTATTATGTTAATGACAAATACGGTACCATATATGGAAGTGACAGACTATTTTTGACGTTGGTTCCGACTTGTATAACGTTGCATTTTGGAAACGGGAAATACGGAATATTATGTTGTAGTAGCTTTCTATATTTATATTTATATTATTATTTGTAATAACTGTTCAAGCAAAACATCATATAAAACTATAACAAACCGTTTTTTTCCAAATCGTTATGCAAGTAATGGTTCTGCAGAGTGCTCTCCTCTTTATTTTTTTGTACGGAGAATTTTCATTGGTCTAAGGTTTTCACACGACCAATGAAAATACTCCATATACGAATGCATCCGTTTATACATGTGTACTTTCATTTTGGATAGAGAATTTGGCAAATCGGAAAGACGGTTCGTTATAATATTTATATGATGTTTTGATTGAACAGTTATTACAAATAATAATAAAATTTGATTATATTTATATGCGCAATACAAAAACATATTCATTCAATTCGAATAAACTTCCGTTTAGTCGGTTATTTTTGACCAAAAAATCCAGCGGTCAGGTCTCTGTCGAGTAACACTTGCGGTGACTTCGAGATTAAATATCTTCTTATAACTTGAAATGATTGTAATGACATCTTTATTTTTAAAAGTAAACAATTCCCTACCATTTGGTACCAAGATATTGAAAATTGGTGAAAAAATGTTGGAGTTCATATTAAGAAGAGAGCTAAAAAAAATGAGCGGCGAGTTGCATACCTTAACTAAATATATATACTTTAATTTTTTAATGAAGGTAATAATTAAAGCATGTTTCAAATGAAAAATACCACATTTTACATGATTTTGAGAGGTAGGCGGGTTGTAGAGTGGGTGAGGGAAGCCCGGTGGGTAGTGACCAATCAACGCGCCGAACACCTATGAGACATACGCACAAATTTAATGGACTAAAGTTGTTTCTTGCAGAAATTTGTAAAATGTAAAAATCTAGAGATTTAATATATTTTGCACAAAAACTTTGTTGTATAGGTGTATGAATAAAAAATGTCAATTATGACCAATTTTAACACTGGTCACTTAAATTATGCCATTAACGTGAAAATAAGTGATGACCGGAATTAGTGATGTTGAGTATAAGTACATGTACTGGTTTCCTAGCAGTTTCCGTCCCGTAGCAGTTTTCAGGCCGTTTATCATTTTCGTCCAGCATAGTCTATTTTAACCAGTAAGGCGTCAACATTACTTCATCAATCAGAGACACATTTATTTCTATGCTAAACAGCATTTAAAATAGTACAACGATTTATGTTTTGAAGTTTTGCATGTTGTTTAAGGTTGGGAAGTTCTGTTTGTTTGATTAATAATATCTGTCATATTTTGCGGCTCGGATCGGAATATTCGTCCCGAGGTGACCCGCCCATTGGGCGGTAACGAGGCTTGCCGAGTTACCGCCCATGGGCGGGTGACCGAGGGACGGATATTCCGATTCCGAACCGCAAACATATGTCAGATATTTTTTCTTGCATATTCTACCATATTCCATTATATTTTAAATTCTTTATCTTTATTTTCAATGAAAGTTTATATCATTACAACCGTAACTACTTTCATTCAACAGCGTATGAATTACAAAATCATTCATAACGGTAAAATGACGTCATCTTTATCGTGCCATTGTACAGCACGCGACTCATCTGGAACCCCCCATGCCAGATGGAATTTCCGGCTTGGGTAAAACTAACGGAAACGCCAGTCTGATATGCAAGAATAATCCATCTTAAAATTGCTTTACGGTACTGAATTATATTCAAAGTAAAAAAAGGTCCAGAAAACTGCTATGAATTTTTGAATTAAGGTGAAAACGGTGTTACATTTCAGGCCAATATTCAAATTAAAAAGTAAAATGAAAGTGCAACATTAAACAAATGGCAATTCTGGACAGGTACCTAACTTTGTCCTGTCAAAGTTTTGTACCCCTCCGTAGACTGATTTTTATTTTATTTGTTAAAAAGTGAGATAGATTTGTGGCTGGAAACTGCTAGGAAACCAGAACTGTCTTCTTACAGTTTAATTGAGGTCAGTTAGGTTCAATTAAGTCGGTAATTAAGTAATCAACCAAACTTTACAGGAGTGATCAGTACCATCCCTAGTTATGCACATCACGGGCATGTTCGGCTTCGCTGCACAAAATTGCCACCAGAGCTAAAAATAGAAAAATCTTGGCTGCCCTTCACAGGTCAAACTACTGGTGGGATTACAACCAAACTTTACAGGAGTGATCAGTACTATCTGTAGTTGTGCAAATCACCGGCACGTTCCGCTTCGCTGCACAAAATGGCCGCCAAGGCTAAAAATAGAAAAATCTTGTCCGTCCTTCACAGGTCAACTACTGGTGGGATTTCAATGAAACTTTACAGGAGGGATCAGTACCATCCCTTGTTGTGCATGTCACCTGAATGTTCTGCTTTGCTGCACAAATGGCCATCAGAGCTATAAATAGAACAATCTTGTCTGGCTTTCACAGGTCAAGCTATTGGTGAGATTTCAATGAAACTTCACATGAGTGACCATACATAGTGACAAAAAACTTTCTAGTTTATATTGTCATTGTTATTATTTATTCTGCACCAGAAAGGTATCACACTTATCTTGGCGTATACTTTAAGCGGCATTATACCTAGTTCACTGTATACCATATAGGAAGGCGTTGATCTTTTTAAATTTATGATGTGTTTGAAAAACTTGAGTTGTACTCAAAATGTCGTTTGATTAAGCTGTATAAGTACTACGGGGCGAAAAATGTATGGTCGTTAGACGCGTCAGACGACAGGGAGTCGTTAAATTCAGTGACTTTACATTGTAATTTACGTTGGGCGGTCTGAAATAGTGTCGTTTATGACAGGAAGTGGTTTAAATCAGTGTGTCACTATTACAAGTATAACATCAATATATCTTGAAAACATAATTTACTTTCTAGAAGGATTTTTTATAACCAATTGTTACATATTTCGGACTTAATTTCAGGTTATCTTATTCTTGATAATATATTATTTGTGCCAAGTCATGTTTATTATTTGAAAAACCGTGATGTCAAAATGACTAACGGTTACCTACAACCGAAACTGAAATCTTCAGAGATAATGATTAACGACTAGTTATAGTTTTGTAATAGATTGACTATATAAACTATATAATTATCATAATATAATCGCAATAACGTCTAACCACTCAAAATATTCAGGTGAGAAAAGAAGCAGTGTATATCACATTACAACTACATTCACCGTCCTTATTTAAATATCAACAACTTATTGGGTAGACAACTAAAAAAACAACATACTATTTATAAAATCTTCCTTGTAGTTGAACAAACCAGAAATATGATGACTGTATTGACGTGTTTACTTATACGTAATATCTATCAATAGAAAAGTCCTGACGTGTTTGAATTTCATTGGTTATTAACGCAAGATCTCCTGGGAGACGCCTTGAATATGATATTATTAAAATTAGTTATTTGTACAGGAGAAGAAATAAATAGGATTTTCTTAATGATTATAGACATTCGTGTATGAACATTGTTATTATCTCAGTGCTTAAATAATGTAGTGACCCAAAAACATTATCTACAATTTGGAAAATGGCAGCTAGAATCAGAGGCTGTGCTAAAATGCGGCATGAAAAAAGTGACCATGGATCGGATAAGTGTCCTGATGACGGTAACTTTTCATATATCTATATATAAGTCATTGGTAATAAGTGATAAGGTTTTGTTTTTATTACTTAGACATACATACTATACAAATGTTCTGCTGCTAATTTAACGCAATAATTTGATATGAATATAGATTTCTCATAATGGTGTTCGATTCATTTAGACTAAGTTTTAAGGGTATTCAGAGTGTTTTTATTTAAATGTGTGCCAATGTTTAATGATCCTCTTTTAATTTCTTTCATTATGATTAAATGTAGCTCACTACGAAAGGTGTTTGTTTTATATTTTTGTAAAAATTAAATAAAATAATTAATTAAACTCGCTTTGAAGAAAGGCAATACCCTCATGCTCTTTAATAACACCGCACAACGTTTAATCAAAGATTTAGGAAGACGAAACTTAATTATTACAATAAGAGGTTTTGAAATGGCAATATGAAATGTTGATGTTTAAATGTGCTTTTGTATATAGTTTTCGACTTCCAATTGTTTGAAATGTTGAAAAACCATCTTGCCTAGACATGCTTTGCTTAGTTGTCTGTCTTTCTGAAAAATTATCATATGATTGTATGGCAATATTATCCAAGTTCTATTCAAAATTGACAATCTCCGATTATTACATACTTTGTAGATCAAAAGCTCAACGATAGTTAAAGGTCCATTATGCCTGAGCAATTCTATCATTTTTGTTTTTAGAAACTTTTTTATACTTGGTATTTTGTTACAGATTCGGAAAAAAATATACACATTTATTAAAAACTATGATTTTAAAAGAATTTTACAGACAGGCAGGTGCTTTTAAATGGTCTTGCTTGTTTTAGAAAGGAAAAGCCCTGATAATGTATAACATTAACAGTTAAAGGCGATGCTTTAGAAATGCTGTTTGATTATTTTCTTCACACTACTTACACCTCACATTTATATAGATAAAGAGTTAAAACTAACTGAGAATGTATACAAAAAAATTATCATTACATTCAAGGGGGCTATTTCTAATAAACTAGTACAAATATTTCGATCTACTAATTTAAGAATTATTATGCTAATTTACTCGCTTAATGTCCCTCTTCACTGACCAAGAGTAATATACATGTATGAATAGCATCTGCATCACCTGGAGAAGGCATATAGTGTTTTGACTGACAAGAAACTCAGCAGAAATGCAGGCTCCAATATACAAGGATTTAGTGACTTACATCCAGTTTTTGCTTATATTTTACCCTCAATATGCCATCTTAAATAGAAAGTTTTTTTAGGCCAGTGTGTATTTGGGCTACAGCCCCTTAAGCCCCCTCCATTTTGGATCCGAGCCTTAACTCGAAGGCTTAATTGTTTTGTTAATTGTTTGAACAAAAGACTAAATAAATGACGTGAAAATGAAAAGGTTTTAAATGATATCCAGTTTGGTTTAAGAGATAAACGTAGTACTGTAGATTCTGTTTTTATTCCTAAGTGTGTTATTCAAAAGGTGTTTTAAATCACAATTAAACTTTACTGTGCTTTTATTCAGAAATGTTTTGACACTATAACCCGTGATTCATTGCGAACAAAGTTAGTAGAAATTGATGGAAGTTGTAAATTTGTAAATATTGTTAAATCACTATATTAGAGAGTCACGTCATGTGTTAAAATAACATATACATCTAAATTGTCTGATTTTTTGTATAAAGCAAGGGGAACCAATCTCACCGTTTATTTTTATACTGTTTGTGATTCACTAGATTTCAATAATTTGACAGAAAATGACTTACAGCAACTTTCAGTATATCTGTTGCTTTTTGCCGATGATACAGCAGTTTTTACAACGGTCAAACACAGTTTACAAGCCCAATTAAATAGTATATACTTCTCGGATGGAAATTACAAAAAAATGTCAGTAACTAAAAGACAAAAATATGTGTATTTAAAAACAGAAAACAAAGAAATTATTTTGAATGGTTTTTCAATAATGAAAAAAAAATGAAGAAGTTGACCGTTTTTTGTTATTTAGGTATAAAACTTGTTAAAACAGGAAATCTTCGTATTGCTGTTAAGGCCCTAGGTGACTAGGCGCTTAAAGCCCTGTATAGTTTATTATCATTTTTTTAAGAATATAAACATTGATTTAAAGACCAAACTAGTATTATTTCATTTTTGTGTCGCCTCTACGGAGTAGTGGCGACATATAGGGATCACTTCTCCGTCGTCTGTCTGTCCGTCTGTCTGTCTGTCCGTCCGTCCGTCCGTCCGTCACAAAACTTGTCCGGACTACTCCTCATAAACTACTGGTGCAATTTCATCCAAACTTTACAGGAATGATCAGTACCAAGTCTAGTTGTGCATATTGTCAGCATTTTCCGGTTCAATGATTTTTGTCAGAGTTATGGCCCTTTAATAATTTTTATTTTTAAAGTTTGTCCGGACTACTTCTCTTTTACCACTAATGCAATTTCAATGAAACTTTACAGGATTGATCTGTAGCTCAAGTCCTTGCGCATATTGCACGGGTTTTCCGGTTGAATGATTTTTGGCCGAGTTATGGCCCTTTGATAAAAAAGGTTTCTTTTTCTGTTTGTTGCCAGATACACAAAAGCTTGTCCGGACTACTCCTCATAAACTACTGGTGCAATTTCATCCAAACTTTACAGGAATGATCAGTACCAAGTGTAGTTGTGCATATTGTCAGCATTTTCCGGTTCAATGATTTTTATTTGAGTTATGGCCCTTTAATAATTTTTATTTTTAAAGTTTGTCCGGACTACTTCTCTTATACCACTAATGCAATTTCAATGAAACTTTACAGGATTGATCTGTAGCTCAAGTCCTTGTGCATATTGCACGGGTTTTCCGGTTGAATGATTTTTGGCCGAGTTATGGCCCTTTGATAAAAAGGTGTTTTTTTTCTGTGTGTTGCCAGATACGCAAAAGCTTGTCCGGACTACTCCTCATAAACTACTGGTGCAATTTTCTCCAAACTTTACAGGATTGATCAGTAGCAAGTTTAGTTGTGCACTGTCCGTCTGTCTGTCCGTCTGTCATAAAATTTGGCCCAACATGAAATTGGCCATCATGAGGCGACACATGTGATTACTGATCACTCTTGTATTGTATGGTTTATAACTTTAGGGGATACACAATCATAAAGAGATTGATAAGTTACATATAACGTTTTGTAAAATTATCCTGGGTGTAAGAAAACAGACTACAAATGCTGCTGTACCTGGAGAACTCGGGATATTCCCGTTATCTTTCATAGGTATTGAACGTTCTTTAATGTATTGGATTAAACTTAAGAACAATAATGATAATTATACTGTTTATGACATTTTTCTACACCAATGTACACTATCACAATTGGATGTTTAGAATTAAACAATCTTTTGACAATCTAGATGTTTCACAGTTATTTGATATCTTTAATCCTGATTTGAAATATTTTCTGTTATACAAAGGCGATTGCGTGACCAGTATGTTCAGGAATGGAGTTCAAGTTGAATACCTGGTGAAAATTAGTATAGTATGCAAAATTTAAAATGTGATAGAATTTGTACCTTATTATAATAATATTGTTAATGATAATTAAACCTAGAATTGTCGCATACTCTTGCAATTTAGATTTTATAATATCGAGAGAAATGAAAGATTGTGTTTATTTTATAATTATAATCAGATTGAATCTGAATAACACTTTTTATTGATTTGTCCAACATATACAATGTAATAATATCAGGAAAGAATCACTTCCAAAGTATTATACATATTGGCCTTCACTTAAAAAATTGTTACATTAATGAATAATTATAACAAAACTATTCAACTATTGAACGAAATTAATTGGTAGAGATCAATAGTGCTTAATTGTATATTTATTTATATTGTATTGTAATGTTTATATGTGTTTAATTAACCATATGCATTTGAATTATTCTTGTACATTGGTGTGTTATTTTGTCTTATCTATATTCTTTAATTATTTACTTGTATATGACAAAGGAATTTTCATTTCGATTGCTAGATAAAGATTAATTGGTTGATTGATTGATTGATTGGTTGATATATCAAACTTATTTAGAAAATGGTAGTGTTTGAAAACGGTTACCGATCAGAATTACAATAAGATATGAAAATAGCATGTGTTAATTATATATGATGCATTTCACTATAAATGTATGAGATGTACAAGCTGCTTTGATATATCTTATAACAATTGTGGTTTTTGTTCATTTTTATGCTTTTATGAATGCTTGTTGTAAATATGATTTTGCTTTATTTTTATCTTAATGATCTCATATACTTAAATGAATTATATAGATTAATGCACCACAAAAGATAAAAATATTATACAAACAGCAATATATAGTATTCAGTCATTTACTGAGAACAATCACAATGAATTAATAATTAGGATTAACTTCTATTATTCAAACCATCTCTTAGTTAGTAAGAACCATTTTTCAACGTATTGATTGAGATTATATATTATCAACAAGTATAAATGATATTGAACATCTTAGTTAAAGTGTATAAAGTTATATATATATACACTGCAAAATTTATTGTTTGAAAAATGAAAACTTTTAAAATGCTCGTATGAAGTAAAAATGGTAGTTAATCGCCTTAAAAGCGAATGTACAAAATCATTGCTAAACGGATAAAACCCTACTTTAAATAGCAAAATAAAGTAGTCTAATTTAGAGTGTTCAAAGCATACGGTAAGGGAATACGGTACGGGAATACGTTTTCACGTGTAATGGTACGGGAATACGTTGCCATCATATGGGTAAAGGAATACGGTACTGGAATACGTTTCCATCATATGGATAAAGGAATACGGTATTGTAATACGTTTCCATCATATGGGTAAAGGAATACGGTACTGGAATACTTTTCCATCATATTGGTAAAGGAATACGGTACTGGAATACGTTTCCATCAAATGGGTAAAGGAATACGGTATGTAATACGTTTCGGCATCGATATGGGTAAGAGGAATACGGTACGAGAATACGTGTATTCCATCATATGG